CTTTTAACAGAATTCGCGCCACGACGGTACTTTTTTCTTTTCATTTACATCAGTGATTCAACAGAAGCAGCTGAGCTCTAGTTCATCAGTTCTAGCTAACTATGTTATTTAATACGAATTGATTAGCAGTTGCACAGCTCATCTTGCTGATCTTATACTGTCAGCTGTCGTCTATCAACTATCAAGGATAGAAAGACTCTTCCGACCCGGGCATAATGGTTGGTTGAGGAGGGCCTTGGCGTGCATTATTTCCAGGTGTAGTTGCTGAAGTCCTCATTGTGGCTTTTCGTTGTTGTTACCGTCTTCATCGTCGTTGCCCGACGTCTCTTTCCCCGATTCTCGTGTTTCATTCTCGTCTACTAGCCGTCCAGCGCTGGTTGGCACTTATCAATCACCTCCACGACAGCTGGCACACTGAGCGGCCCGGTGCTCTGTACGGGCGCTTTTTCGCTCACTGTCCTACACGGCCTGTTTCGTTAAAGCCCTATTCTCAATTGTCTTCTAGAAATCTTGGCCACTCTCCCTTTTGTCGTTCAGTAGCTTTTTACTTCATACTCACTGCCTTTTTCCCTTATCCTTTACCATCTTCGCTGCTCAGTTTACTTTCGTCTCTCACATTGACCACGATGACAATGATTGTTACGACCACTAGGAAAAGTACGCGATTTGTGGGGCACGCACGTCCTTATTTCATGCATAGACGCGCCGACCACAGGCCGTGCTCACTACTACCACTCTGTCAGCAGTAATAGCACTAACAGGTTCCTGCGGGTCTACTAGGTGCTATATTACGTTACTCTGATAGTTTTTTCACCGATGGCGTTACTCGCTTGGCCGACAGTGGCCATTCGGCGTCCCGACAACTGCGACGGTAGTGACACCGTTTTGCATTGGCAGCAGCTGACACATCCCTCCGACCATTCCCGTCGTCTTACTGGTTATTGCCCGATCGCCTTTACGTCAGCCAAGGCTCAGTTACTTTCCATGCCCCCGTCTAGCCCTCGGTCCACACTGTTCCGTTCAGTGTCTTTGCTTGCTGGGTTCTTGCCCCAGTCAACGTTGTATCAGTTCGGTCCTCCGCTGGTGCTCCTTCTTTTCCCTCGGACTGCAGCCTTGCCCAGATTTGCCCCACTACACCACCCCGTTCAGTTCTAGCGGTTAGCTGTGCATCGTTCCAGGCGTCATTGGCCTATCCTTCCTCCTTTCACTCTTTTACCCCCTCGCCCTCGCTGTCCTTCATTCCCTGTTTCTGCTAAAGGCGGCCGCCGCTGCCCCTGTGACCCTCTCTCAGCTTTTCTCTCACTCATTGTATCACCAGCCTCTCCACTATTTCCTCCCATGTAGACATTCTTTTTCGATACTCGTATACTTTCTTTCGCCAAATATTTAATTCTCTCCCTCAATTTTCTGTCGTTTTCTCCGTCTTCCCTTTCCCACGTTTTCTACACTACCATTGTTTCCTTTTCCTGCATTTTCCATTGCTCGCCTTACTCCGCAGCCTGGCATAGACCGCAGGGCCGCATCTGTCTGACTGCTATTCGGCCGCCAGGATACTCGCCGTTTGGCGGAAACAACCGGGGTTAGCATGGAGGTGAGCGGCAAGCAAATGGCGAGAGTCCACCTAGCAAAGGATCTAGCAAAAGGGAACCAACTCAGTGTCAAGTTGCCATTGCGGTTACTAACGCCAGCGAAAAGTTGGCATTACCTCGTTGGGTAGCACCCCTGCAGTTATCGTCTCTCTCTCTTTCTCTCTCAGGCGTCAACTCGCCGAAAACAACTGGTATTTTCCTGGTGAGGTCTGAACAACGAAGCCAACGGCAATGCAGACGACCGCCAGATGTAAACGATCAGCCGAAAAAGACCACGAAGAAAAAACGAAGCAAGTACAACGTCAACTCGTAGTAGTTTCAGCAGTGGGCCGAGTGTAAACCAAAGTAGGAGCGGCAGCAATAAGGGAGAACAAACCAATGGCCGAAAGTGAATTCTAATGACAACAAGGACGAAACAGCTTCTGCTGCTGAGTAAAAAACAACGACACAAGCCAAGTCGACGAGTAGCAGCAGGACGACGATGAGGCCTATAATAGCGTGCTAGCAGACCAACGACGTCGATTAAGAGCCCAGGCAAAGAGTAACATCTTTTACTCGCAGATACGAGACGCAAAGAAGGGAAGAAGCTCGGAAAGGTCAGAGAAGTAACTATGGACTCAAAAAGAGGTGGACGTCGAGGCCGATATGGGAGACCGGGCTGGCCATTCGGGCTTCAGAAAAGCAGCAAAGGGTCAAACGGACTAGAATAGAGAAAAGGGAGTTATGACAAGACACTGAGAAAATGGCTAGCAGTCACGATTGCGGATTAGCAGGTGCTATTGGTTATGGCACAGAAGGCGACGCGGCACCAACAGTAGCTGGCAGGGCGTGAGCACCGACAAAGCAGTCAATAAAACAGACGTTAGGTATGAGATCGGCGACGCTTCTGTTTGTTGATGTTGCTTTGGCGCCTTTGTTGCTAGCTATTAGTAAGGAACTTCCGATAACCTAAAATAATAGTACAAGGGAATATCAGCGATTTACGCTCATATGTCTGTTACATCTACTTAAGTGTACACTCTAGAAACAATGTACAGTTAGAAATTAAAGAGCGTTTCTACGGTTTTGCACACTAATTTCACTTATTTAATAGTCGTCATTTAGCATATCTCTGAAATGATGACAGCGGTATCCATGACTTGTTTATTAAAACGTAATCCGAATCTTCGTCTGAATCAGTGGAATTTTAGGTTAGCATTAGTTCAATTTGGTTATGAGCTTTGTCGGCCTGCCGGGTCCCGTCCTGACACATTGACTGTTTACCCTTACTCATTATTTCCTATTTCGAAAAATCCGAATATCCAAAATGCCGCCGAGGAAACCCTGCTGAAGCAACCTTCGGTCTCTTATCCTTTTATGCATTGGAGGCGACTTTTGAGTGTGATGTTTCGACGCAAGCGGCGGTGGAGCGACGGTCGTGGTTATGCGCACAAAATCCACAGAAGGCTGCTTCTTCGTAACGTTCTCCTGTCCTGTTTTGGTACCGTCCCATCCCCTGTCGCTCAACTCTTATATTCCCTAGCCTTAGCCCAATCGTGCTTGACTATTCGTCTGTTAAAGCCACAGTCTTCTTCTAGAGGTCCGGCGGCGCCTGTAGAAAAGAAGGCTTGTACGTCTTACTTGGGGCATCGGCAGCATCAGCGGAAGCTTTTTTGGCTCTCACAACTCCAGTGTCGCTTGCCGATCGACGATGGGTGATGTGTAACAGACATAGAAGTGCTTGGAAAAGCTACACGATGTACGTAGAGCCCTTTGCCTTTGCCCATCTAGACCCTACTGCGTTCCCTTTCCCCCATGATGAGGTACGGATTTAAGGGTTCGAAGGGACGACAGTTTGCTCATGCGCCGATGACTTGGCGGACTCTACGAAAAGGCTGCCGCTCGCCGCTTGGCGGAGCCTTGCCCGCGGCTCAGCCGACGCTGGTCGCCACCAGCAGCGCCCTCGTCTGCTAGCGTGCAAGATCGTTCAGTCAACTTGTTTCCTCTTTGCCCCATCGGTTTCACGGCATCGCATCTTCTCAGCACTTCCAACGAGCGACGCGCGTCTTCTAGCTGAGTGAGGCTAGTGAGATCACTGGCAACGATGACGAGAACTTTACCGATATGATAGCGTCGCTCACATGAGTAGGTACAAACCATGGTCATGAGGAAGGTTCAGTGCCCGGAGCTTTGTCCTCTGAGCGCTCTCCTCTACACATCAGCATGAACCCTGGAGAGGACGAACGGAAAACGAGAGAAATAATGGCAAAGAATTGGAACCAACGTATAGACCGCTAATGCTGACGCCGCTCCCGCTGCTTCTCCTCCTGATGCTGACGCCAGCTGGCCGGCTGGTCGGCTGACTGAGTGACGGCTCATTCTTCGTGTAAGCCTCTATTCCAACCGGTGCTCGTGTTCCTTGGAGCTGCTGTCTCTGTTCCTGATACCGGAGCTCCCTACGACCGAAGGAGTGGAAGAGCTCCGCTAACGGGAAAACCAGAGATGGAAGCAGACATAAGAACGAAGAAGAGAGGGAAAAAGGAAAAAGCAAACATATAACTACGACCGTAGCGCCCTTACGTCTGACGAGAAGGCTTTTGTAGGAACTTCTCCAGTTTTCCTCCGGCTGCTCCTCCAGGGCCTTGGTTGTCGGTCCTACCGCCGCCGGTGTTCCTTTTCAGTTTGTGTCTCGTAGGGTCTATCTACGTTTCTATGTCTTTCACTAGCTGTGTCTCCAGTTCTCTTCCTCTCGCAAGGTCTTAGCTCTCCGAGTTTTTTTCGATTCTCCGTGCCGCGTGCGCCCGATGGTGATGTCGCTAGCGGCAAAGGAAGCAGCACTAGCACTGCTGAATCGGTGCGCGAAGAAACAGCGTTTGTCTGTCGGGCTGAGTGCAGTGTCGGCTGCTGCCGCCTGACTGCATGAAGCTGCTAGTGCTCAGTTTCATAGGCTCGGTTCGTTCCTTCCCTCGCTCTGTCGGTCGGTGCTTACTCGTTGTGTGCTCCAGAACCCGTTCTCCAATACCCGCTGTGTTCCTTGGCCCGTTTCATTCGAACTGGCTGTGTAAGCAGTGTATTTGTCTTTTTGTTCGTGGGCCTCAGTGTCGGTTGCTGCTTTGCCTTCCGCACGCCGAGAACGTGGTTGAAGAACGCGCGCAGCTTGCTAGTCACCGTCGAGCAAAGTAACTGACTTAGTTAGCCAGTGAGTGACTATGTGTATGCGGGTGTAAATGTGTGTCGAACGCTGGCTGTGTGTCCATGAGTATCAGGCTATCTAGCTAGCTGGCAAATGGGTGAGAGCAGACGAGAGCTCGCATGCGTGTGTGCCAGAGAGAGCGGAACGGTTATACGAGTGGCCTGGGGGCGATTGTAGAGGGCGCTGCTAGATCGAGCACTCGCCCTCGCCGGCGAGTGGCGCCGCCTTGCGGACACTAAATGTGTCACCTAGGCGCCGCCGTCGGACTCGATAACAGAGAGCGTGTAGTCCTGTCCCAGTCTAGTTGTGTAGACGACAGCAGCAGGCTGCGAGGTAGTGCCAGTGCCCCCATACACAGGCATAGAGGAAGGAGCTGTGCTGTCAGCCAGTACCGATCGAGAGAGCGAAGCCAAGAAAGAGCTGTGAGGAGGGAAGACACCGAAAAAAAAAGAAAAAAGTCAACAACGACGAAGACGTCGGCGACGGCTTGAGTGTGAGAAGAGCGAGAGGTGAAAAAAGGAAAAAATTACATTGGCGATATATCAATGTGTGACAAAGGATCGCGCGCGGAATAAGCGAAACGGCCGGCAAGCACAAATCATCAACGCAGATATTAAATGAGAATAAACATAGTGTTAAATCTGAAAACGTCAAAAAAACAGAAAGAAGCTTTGAATCGAATCAAATTTTGGTGCTCGACGACGCTCCGTGCCTCTGTCCTCTAAGCTACTGCTGTTCGTGTCTCAGATCTTCTTCTACTACTGCAGCGATTTTATCCATTATATCGTAATAATATCGCGTCGTAAACCTACAATCAATGAAGAAAGCAGTCAATCAGTGAGTCGTTATTAGCAAAGAGTAATAGTAACCAGAATGGTATAATTTGTTCTTGTTTGTAAGCCAGTCAGTCCGTTTCACTGTTGTTACTGTTCGATCAACAACGAGATCGAAACGCATTCAAGCTACCAATTAGTCTTTCTCTATTAGCGGAAGAAATCCAAATCTTCTAAGCTTAACGAAATTATTCTTTCATCTTCTCATCTGATTGTCAGCAATTCGTATCGACGTGTAAAAAAGCGCGCGTTCGTTATAAAGTCACCTTCTGTTCAACGTCTCGTCCGACTGAAGCTGCGGGTTCCATTACACTCGTATTGTACGGCACAGGCTAATCGTTGTGTTGGTGAATCGTTCGTTCAAAATTACGAAGTTTACTATCTATTGTTGCCTTTTATCGCTTCGTAATTGCGATTTCTGTGAGGGTGTGATCGACGAGCACTCAAGCTCCATATAGTTCCATAGTTCTTTGTAATAATCAGCGCGCGGAGAAACAACAATTGAAAACAGCTTCTTTTACTTCGTCCATAGATCACAGCGTCTACAGCGAGAATCGTGTGAGAATCTTCGTGTGAGTGTTATAATTGTTTTCCCAAAAAAAACATTCCCCCTTATTTCGCAATAACGTACAATACAGCCATCATTGTCAAACCTACAAACAAATAAGTATCCGTGCATCATTCGTTCATTTACCTAGTGAGCCGCCATCCCTGTTTAAAATCTACATATACGACGACATATAGCGAACAATTGTCCCCAATGAGCCATAAGAATCCTACTGTGACTTCAGCTACCGACGTCCAACAAAGAGAGAGATGTCAAGCCTAGGCCCTCAAGCTTTTGATGAGTAGCGCCAATAAACACCTCGGTTTTTGTGTCTTTCGTTATTCGTTGCTGCTGCTACTTCTGCTTCTGCAACTGGGCCTGTTTCGGTTGCCCCTGTGGGCGAGCCGCAGAGTAAGGAGAGTGGAGGTGGGTTGTGCAGCCGCTAGCCCCTGAAGCTCTCACGTTGGCTGAGCAGCCCCCTGTCTGTGTTCTCCTTGCGAGTCGTCCGAGGGTCGCGAGAGATAGTAATAGCAGATGCTCACAGCATCGTTTAGAGGCGGTGGTAGCATACTGAAAGGCTGCCTCTAACTCTGCTGCTACTGCTGTGGGGGTTGCTGGCCAAGCGGCAAGCGAGCAGATCCACGAGTGAGAAGCTTCGGACGAACATTTGCTTGCTTGGTGTGGCCGTGGATTCATCCGGTTTCTAAAACTCCGCCTGTTACCACCGCTAGCCGCAGCCGTCATCATCGCTGACAGAATTGCCCAAGGCGCTAGTTAGTCGCCTTGTCCTTGCGGTTCGCTGCGTTGACTCGCTGGCTGTACACCACCAACACCGTAACCATCGACCTTCAAAGGCTTAAGCCATTGGCCTATGGCTTTGACCGACCTTCCGTCCTTGCTGGTCGGTCGCTTTGTTGGTTTCTAATAACTCAGAATCTCTAAACATTACATCAGTGGCAGCTATACCAGAGTGGAGTATTGTGACGGAACTGTTTAATTGCCGCTATTTACCACAGTAGCTGGCGCCTCCCTGTAGTTATCAATGTTTGCCATATTGATTGTTCGTACGCTCGGACCAAAAGTTTGCATCAAAACAAAGCACGCAATGATGCTGTTATAATTGACCCGATGGAGCAGGTGTGACAGCAGCAGTCGCAGTACGTTGAGTACGTACGGGGTTCTTATTTGTAGCAAATACTTTGCTAACTGATGTGAACGTAGTTTTACCTTATGCCTCGCTCGTTATCTGTGCCTCGCTGAAATCGTCTCGCTTTCGCCGGCCAACATACTATCAATCAGAGCTACCATTGTCCGTTACCGCGTTTTTCCTATATTCATTCAAGTCATTGTCTTTGCCTAATGTGTATGTGTAACGCATACACGTATTAGTTCTTTTTAGTTATTCGAGTTGCGTTGTCTAGGTCACGAGACAGGCCAAGCCTTTGTTGAACCATGCGATCGACACACGTTTCGTACATTGCCCTCATTCCTCTATAAAGCAAACTGGGCAAGTCGCGCTACGTGACGTTACACTTTCACACACGCTCCCTCAAATGGTGAAAGATGCAGTGGTAGATAACAACGACAAGTTTCTAGCCTATGCATGCACGCATAGTAGATATGGCTGCATGCCGATTTGTTCCGCCTTCCAGCTCCGGCCTGCACTACCGGCATCTGCAAAATGGCAATTGTAGTAGGTGCTCAAAGATAGTAGCATCACCAGATCCAAGCGGCTTTGCGATTAGAGCGTACGTCAGCTGGTAAAATTCTCGTTGAAGCTACTGTTACAGCTCCGTTCTATGGTTACATCAGCAGGGGCGGTATGATAGCCAACGCGTCTAGAAACGGATCGGATTAGACAGAGATCTGTTGATCTGTGTTCTCCCTTTTTCCACATCCACTTCCATCCGTCTCTCGTTTTCTTAGTCCTTGAATGTAGGCCACACGGCAGAGCTTTAGCCACGACTTCGGCTTGCACTTTTTATTTGTACATTCACTATGTACGAATGTATAATATACATAGTTTTATACCGGTTAGTTGTTTAAGTTTGTGTAGGGCTAATAGATTCATTTCTTTCTCGCGTTGTCGTGGCCGTCATCAATACGATTTCGTAGATTTGCATTTTTGGTAGTATGGCAACCCAGGAGCATTATCGTCGTTAACAACAGCAGTGGCATCGGTAAAAACCCCTGCAGTTTAGACTGATTTAAGGAGAACGCTGCTATTTGCTTACTTCACTTTCCGCTTGCTCGGGCCGCGGCTGTGCTCGACCTGCGATTTGCCGAACCTGTATCCGGCGGCTCTTGCCCAGTCTTCACGGGGCCGGCAGTGCTTCCAGCGTTACTAGTACGAACCAGCGTTTGCCGTTCCATTGTGAGAAGGTAGTTCTTCTTGATGGCGTCATTCCGCTGCATTGTGTGACGACGCTGAGAACGATGTCGCACGGCCTCGTTAACAATTACAGTGGCAGTGACATTCGTTGGCCGGCGATTTCACTGCTGCTGCTGTCGTTGTCTGCTATGATACAATAAGCCGGCCGTAATGCCATTTTGTCACACGCGTCAATTCCATAACGCCCGCGTATCCTGTCTTGTTTTTGCCCCAAACGACAAGCAGAGGATCTAACATTACAGCTAATCGGTGTCATTCCTGTTGTTGTTTCTGTCTGCTCGACAGCAGACATTGTCTGGCTACTTAGGTAGAGCTGCAGGTGCCAGTAATGAAAGATCGGGCGGGCGGGGAGGCGATCCGCCGCAATTTTAACGTCCAGTCAGACAGACAGACAGCGAGTACGCGCCTGTTTATCCGTCAGTGACCGCGCGAAACGCTTCCCTCTCTCCGTGCGCAAAGCTCTGGGTTGATGATTTTTCTCTGGTGGAATCGCTGGCATTGCGCCTGCGTAAACACCGGACGAATAACATGGTAAGAGAGAGCTCTCGTGATGAACGGTGAGATGACCCAACGTCAGCAGAACCGTCTCAGTGTGTGACCGATGGCACGATGCTGGGCACGGGCTAAGCCACCACAATGCGTTGGAATCGAAAAGAAACATCCAGACACACTTATTAGGTACATGTACACACAGAAAGACGTATAGAGACTACAGTCAGTCGGTCGCAAATAGCTACAATATATTTACCGTAAAGAAAATACTGTGGTTCCTTAGGTTCCATGAATTAAGTAGGGGGCGATGGCAATAAGATGATTGCCTACTGCGATCCTGTGTAATGCCCATGAATACTAAATGAGGGACTATGTCGAATTACGGGAATCTGTGCGTATGTGCGCCTTTATAGTACGGACCGTAGCCGGTTACATTGTAGTACAATATTCGAATACAGATGTTTCGTGCCTAACAAGCCGCGTACGGGTCGATGTTTTTTATCGCCTACGAGTGCTATGTACAATATACAAACCATATATTATTTAGGCTGATTACGCAGGCGCCTGCGCGTATACTTTGTGCGCGTATAAGCTTATCCTGTCGTCGAGTTATTATTCTGTTAACGTCGTATTTTGATATCCGTAGATTGTGGTCAATTAAAGCAGGTTTTGGTCAGCCATTAATGTTGTGTACAACTGTGAGAAGAGCGGAAATAAGCAAGAGTACACGGGATGGTAATAATTCGGATTCGTTCCCTCTCGGACAGGAGATCGACTCGATTCCGACGTTTGAAGGCCCCATTTGTTTCTACTTATTAGCCGGCATGCCATTGTTGGATGCTTTTCGAATCGCATCATTAACAGCAGATGGCAGTCGATGCTGTGGCCGCGTCGCTGCAATGCCAGCACAGTAAATGATCAGACATATATCAGACTGATATTCATAGGATCGTCTGATTGTTGTTGCATTGTTGAAGACGTATAATTGGTCAGTCGCCTTAGAGCTAAGAATATCCGGAAAAGTGTCTATGTTGCTACTGTTGATGTTATTGTAGCAGTTGTGCTACGGTTTTTGGGGTTCGCTCGAAATCTAGAAGTGATCTACATGTTGACCACACATACGATAACGCTGATGCTGACAATCATCCTCATTAGGACAAGATTATTAATTCTTTTACGGCATTTCGGTTCATCCACAGACAAACTGTGTCCTATTGGCACCCGACACGTCTGTTATATGCAATATGACTTTGTTTTTCTTTACACAAACAGCCCAATAATTCGACAATCCAAATGTTATCATTAAAGACAATTATCCTTGTATTTGATGGTCGTACTGTTTTTCTATGGGAGTCCAGCTTTGCCTCGAATTCCGTCCTAGCTGTATATCAAATCTGCTTTTTTCCAAATCGTTCTTATATTTTATCAGTTCCATATATCATCGTTTAGAGTCGGGATGATAATAAATCACGAACTTGTTCAATCGTTACTGATACATATTCCTCGCCGTAGACGCCTATTTGTTTTTGTCCGTGTGTGTTAGTTTTGGATGGAGTCATGCGGCCAGTTTATGCGGAGCTGTACGATCGCGTTGTATTGTCTCTTGCTTACAAGTGTCTGTTATCCGAATAAGCTGCCTGTAACGTTGTGGGCGCATTTGAAACGAAAGCTTTTTAAAACATCAGTATTTCCTTGGGATGGCCGTCCTACCATTCTTCGTTCACTTATTTTACTGTTACCGCTGCCGCTGTCCCTGGCTGCTTTGCTACAAAAAGATCTGGCGCCAGGTGAATTCGCGGGCGTACAGTGCGTGTCTGATACACTTACAAAATTCCCCCAAGCTGATAACCCAATGCCTTCTCCCCTCTTACTTTCACTCTCCACAGTCCCTTATGCTTCCCTATGCTTGTTTGAATGTAGACTGTTGTTTGACCGTTAGGTGCCGCGTCGCGCCGGTTGCGTGCATGCCTACCGGGCTGGCTGTAAGTTCCTGGGTCTGGCAGTGGGCTCTGTATGAACTCTAGAGCTTCCACCGGTCCTCCATACCCCGAACCCGTACGAACGACTTCATTAATGGCACAGACCGCAGAACGAAGCGGCTTGCGTGGGTTCGTTTAGTTCCCATTGCAAACGTTTATCTACTTCTACGATAGAGACGTGTACCTTGCGTTAGCCTTTCCTCGTCCTCGTCTTCTCTTGTCCTAACTAGTCCTGCTTCCGATCCTGGCCCTACGCCACCACCACCAGTCCTAATGGTAACAAAACAGAAGCATCCGAAAAATAGAAGGGGTGCGCAGTACTCTGGGTTGCATTGGCGACTGAGTGAGAAGCACACTAACCACTTCATAGTTCCTTCTCCCGTGCAAACTACAAATGGTGATGGCCGCAATGATTGCTGCTGCAGGCTTTGTCGAAGGTCCTAGGAACGGACGGACAAACATACCGACTAGCCCAGCAGTCTATAGGCTGGCTTGCTGTGTCATGTAACTACCTGCTGTGGCCACCACTCCGGCAATCGGGAACGGCTATTGTGAAAGAACTCATGTTGGAAGTGGAAGTGGTAGAAGAGTAGGACACGTAACAACGATGGTCATAGAGGTCTTGCCCCCGGCACAATGTCGACCGTTGTCCCATCGAGGCTTCACCCTACGCCTTGGCCCGATTCTCAGTCTTTGCCCCGATGTGCTCTACTGTTCTGTAAATGGTGGGAACAATACAACGGTAGGTTTTAGTAGTTCGGGACGTCAGTGTCAATGGTGGCGCTGTTGCAGGGACAGCGCGTACGCCCCTTTCGTTTCTGCTGTTGCCGAATCGCTCTTTGGCAGTACTCTTATGTGCGTAGTTAGTAAGGGACGATGAAGCATCGGCTGTGTTATGCTTTTGAGCATATGTTCGATGTCGTCACTAGTGACCGCAAGCGCCGCCGTCGTCTGCATGGCTGAACAACACGCGAACTCATATGACCCACATACAGTTAACAGTAACCTGCTAAGAGTGCTGCGTTTAGATGTATGCTATCATACGTGTATGTGTGTCGTCGTCTGGGTCTGTCTGTATGTCGTCTCCGCTATGGGTCCTCGTCATTGCGAAGGCGAGAGACAGAAAAGCTGGGAAACCATGAGTCGTCCTTCCTTTCGGTCGTTGGCTCCATTTCTTCCCTCTCCATTTTCTCTCTCGCTCTTTATTTTGTGCCTCTTACAGCAAAACACGCACTACAGTAGTCGTCAGCCAACAGCCGGCATCAGAGTTAACAATGTTTCCTTTTTCCTTCAACGTCCGTTTCTGACTCCTGAGACTTCTTCCGTCTCGCTTTCTTTCTCCGAGCATCGTATTCCGATGTTTTTCACCCACCATCATGGCTAGCGCAGGGCAGTCAGTGTATGTGCCGTTCCTGTTGGTCGCCTTGTATTTCGGCAGGAAACCAGCCTTTCCCGCTGCCACGGCCCCCCAGACCCCGAAACTTCAACTGGGCCGGGAATGGTTCCCAAAGCTCTAGCAACTACCCCTGAAATGAGTTCTCCATTGCCCGCTACCCGAGTAGGGTTCCTATTCTGCTGCCTGTATAAAGCTTTGGACCCGAAGGCACCCTCGGGCAACCGGCTTGTCTACGATCATGCAATATTCATTGAATGAGTTTCATTCTGCCATTGCTCTGGGCTCGTTTGTGTTTCAACGTTGAGGTCCGAACGCGAGCCAGCGCTAGTCTATTCAGTACACGACTCAAGTGATACTATTATACCAAATAAGAAAACCACTACCTCTACACCGGACCAGATTTAGTCGGACAATGAAACGTAGTGTTCAGTTACTTGACGTTCTCAGGCAATATTCCAACAATGTATGTGGCCCATGGGCTTAAAACCATGCATGCATCAAAGCTTCTATAAATGTTCTGCCTATGCAGACAAACAACAAAGAAGAGACAAATTCAAAAGTTCAATAGTGGGTCATCGCTTCGCTTTATCTATAGCGTATTATGTATTGGCGAGCCCCGAAACGCCGTAAGAGTACGGGGACCTGTCTTCATTCCCACAATAAACCATAATGCATTACGAAACACAACAGACGTCCGCGGAGATGGCGTACTGGTTATAGAGTTGGCACGCGGTAACATGTCGCTCAGTGATATACACTGTTGCCGCTGCCACGGCCACCGTCGCCGCCGCTGCCGCTGCCGCCGCACGAATCTCAGAATTCAACAGGCGTTTACCGTTGAATCTGTTTACTGGCACACTGTTCCAGCCACATTAGCATTATCAAACCTAGCTCTGAACAGGCCATAGTCGAGGAACGCGTGACGCAGGCGTTCACCATAAACGGCTGCTGGACATTGACGGCCATCCCAAATTAGCCCCGCTGTCAATGTTTCCATGCATACCATAGCTTACTCATTTTTAGTGTATTTTTTACCAGTACAAAGCGTAATAATTGGGGTAAGGCTAAGCAAATCAGTGTCTACCAATTCGTTATTGGCTAAGGTCAGCAAATAAATCCTTAGTGAATTCAAATCCACCAGTATTACTTTCAACTTTTAGGACGAAGGAACCCGTTCGTTCGTTCGTTAGAGATCATCGGCCTTCTGAATACCCAACAGGTTTGAAACCACAACTGAAAGACAACAGTGTAAATCTTCGCAAGAATAACGCTCGGCGGGTTTTGTGCCAATATTTAGGCCTTTGGGAATGCTTTTTGACGTGGCAGGACGTATGTACCCCCTTAAGGCGTGATATCAACCGCAACGGCATCGATGATACAAGTTAAATAAGTCAAATCACATAAACGATTTGGTCTTCCGTTGTGATCAGACTATGAACGTGACCATCTAGATCTATAGAGTGTAAATGTGGCTTGCTAATCGCCCATTACCATGCCAAGACAGAAATAACCGAAACGACGTGGAAGCGGTTAACTTTGTTAATGGCAATGTGATGGCTATATTCTTTTTTACCCAGCCTCCCATAAAATTGGCCCTTCAGTGGGCTGTTGATCATTAAGTCTCACTTTCACCTGTCTTCTTTCAGTTCTTCGAGTACCCTAAAATCTTAAATCTTCTTAGTTCTTCGTTCTTTCCTAAATAATAATCTTTCCCAAGCTCCACCGAGTTAAAATCGTTTACAGTGTGATAAAGGCGTTCGCTAACCATGTCTCTTTGATGGAACTTTTTATCTTTCATTCGTTTTCTCTCCTGCGTCGTATTGCGGTGAATATACGGTTTCTGATGAATCGACTGATTGGTGGGGTGTTTACGATACCAGGATACTCGCGTGCTGCTATCGCTGTTTCAGCTACTTATCAGCAAATCAGCTTGTGCATCTCCCACTGCCACGAAAATTCTTCTAGATCTTCAGCTCATCTCTTGATCTTCTGATATCTTCTTCAGCAGTGGAGTTATTAACGACAAAGGTCCTCCAACTATCCCGATTGGCGCTCGTTAACACTGCAGTTAACGTTTATTCACCGCTAACAACAACGACGACGACGACGACGACAATAATCGTAATAACAGCGACAAAGGCCAAGACAAGTATACGACTTAGGACGTGCCAGCAGGTAGTCCCAGCGGGAACTGCTGCCGAATGTTATAATATAAGAATACAGTACAGTTAACACTGATGATTCGTACTGCAATCATCTAATTAGGGAAAAATCGACGAATCAGAAGCCAACCTAAATCATCTACAACAACAGCAGTGGCGGCAGCAGTAATCAACAAGATAAGGCGACGATTCAACTGTATTGTGGAAGCAGGTCTCTATTTATGGATCGCTGAATTTCAGCAATAACATTTATGTACGATACAATGCACAATACATAGTTGTCCACAATAGCTAATACGTCTGTAGGACAAGTAACTTATAGTCTGTTGTCGGAAGATACGCGGCTGCGTAAAGCTTCTCCAAAAAGAGTGCAATAAAATATCTTCCACTTCTTCAGGAAGCTGGAAGAGCTGTTAGAATAGTTCATCAAGTCAAGCACAGTCTTCCAAGCCATCATCAGTCATAGTCAGATGTCAGCAGGATCTGCTAGAAGTGTTAGCATCCGTGGTTAGCTACCATCGTATCTAAGCTAGCCAACAGCTACACAATCCAGGATTGATTTTTGTACGTCTCGAGGATTTAGAGTGCAGCCAGAGAGTTAAGGGCCGTGCTAGCAACAGCAGCGGGTGGTGATTAACTAGGTCAGCGGTTAGCTCATGTAGCAACGTATCGGCCACATGTCAGGCAAAAATCACGAATACGACAGTCTTCGATTGGGACCGAAGTGAATAAAGGCTTCCTGCCGTCCCGCAGTGTTACCGCGGCGAGAAGAAACGTTGCAGCACGTGACGTTGCATTGCGAAATAGCTTGTTTCCTCATTCCTAGTAGCGTGTTGGGGTCATTAGCTGCCGCGGGACTACGCTATTCTTCACTCGATTTCAGTGACTTTTCGACTAACCACATTAATAACTTCTACAATATCACCAACTACTGCTTCCAGCAAAGCATTTAGTTCTCATAGATAAAAGCAACGTTTTTGATCTTCGTTGAGTTAAGGAAACAGCTGATTGTTGACGTCGAGCGTGGAGTTTGTTGTTTTCAACAAAGTTTCTACAGTGAGCGCCATCATAGCCCAACCCGAACAATTAAGGCTGGGCTTGTTGCTCTGGGTCAATCAATAGGCCAGTGTCATCGGAATTGTGCAATTTCAATTTTGTGTCCGTGTGTGTAAGTGATAGTGTATCGCACTCGAGTAACAGCAACAAAACAACAGACGACATAACAACATAAACAAACAATTTCTATTCATCGTTAATAGTAACACCGTTGTTAATCTGTATTTCTTGAGGATATAAACCAGCGTCATTTGTACACTGACATCAACGTTCGATCGCGACTACGTAAGAAACTCGCGCGGATTAGTAGATTAGAATGTCCAATAGTCATAATCGTTATTCTCAACAGTGAGGTGTACCAGGTACTATGAGGTAATAGTCATAGCTGTGAGGAACAACGGAAGCAAGCGAGTACTCCCAGAGACAACGAGGGAATCCCGCTCAATTAAACAACAACAAATCATTCAAAAAGTAACTGCTGCCATTTTTTCCAATACTAGTCCCCGAACTTCAAACGCTCCTTCTGCAGCTGACGGACGTTCAATTAAAGCGTCTGCTGTAGGCGCCTACATCACGAAGTATCGTTGTGCCAAACTTCATCACGCATTGGTTCTAGCACAGAGACCCAACCAGTTTCAAATCAAATAGTCCAAGCAATTGAGAACTGTCAACGTTCTCGTCGTCTGTCGGCATCGTCACTGCTGGACGATTTCTGCCGGAGTGATTTCTGCTTCACGCCGTTGTTAACAACAGTGGATAGATAACGACCTTCGACTGGACAGCTCGCAGTTAAGTTAAAATTGGTTGTTAACAAAAGCTGTCACTGCTCAAAACGTCTATAGTGTGACATCGGAGAAAGCGAAATCAATTAGTGGTAAAAGTAGTCCCTGCTGGTGTTGCTGTTATTGCAAGAGTTGGTCAGGTAAAAACCGCAGTTGTAAACCACCGAATCCTACAGACGACGCGCGCCATCGGATATCAAAGCGTCACTATCGGATCGCAAGTTAGGAACGTAATAAGCACGATGGATTCCGAAGTAGCTGTACAGTCCGCGGCCAGCTCACCGAACGAGGCTGCGCATGACCCGGGGTAAGTGCTCGTTTCAACGGGTAGCACATGGAGAATTTACTGTAGTAGGTAAATCTGATACTGGGTCAACATAAAGAAACTAGCAATTGCTACTGATACAGGTTTAATAGACTGGCCCGTCGCTAATTAAACAATGTCAGCATCCGTAAAGCAGTCATCGATGTATTTTAGCGTAACTTGTATATTTATTACGACGTTTTAACCGATCTAGCTTATATCATCGCTAACCGTAATGGACAACTTTTACCTTCACGCACCCGACCTAGGAACAATTGGCTCTGCTAGTTTACGACAAGCTCTCTGCGATTGATGATACGTCATTGTTCGATGCGTATTTGAGGCAAACGTACTTTTATGGCCTAGGTAACCGCTCGTATCTGGTTTGCAACGGACCAACTCGTGACTATGACAAGCTCAGCAGCGATGTATCGACGATAATGCTTGACAATCAAGAAAAACGCGTTCAGTATTTAGTGAGCTGTTTTGGCGCTGGCCATACGTTAGTAATAGGGATGAATCGAATGGAAGATTAGCGATATTTGTATTATCAAGCACTAACTGGAATTAATACAAAACAAATATGTGTGCGACTGGCTGGTAACTTTTTAGTTGAATGTGCCTCTGGCTGCTTCACGGAAGCGAGTAACTAATTATAGTTTATCGTCTGCTCTTATTCGGTTAACTTGACAACTCTTTCCCTAAGCAAGATACTTACACGACGAAGCATAAGTTAGCAGCTCATCTTGCCTAATATCTATGATATCGTTTTTAAAAAGTTATGCCGAAAAAGTCGAACAGTTCTATGTCAAGGAAAAAATCTCCCCACAAGCTTTTAAGCGATTTCTGCAGAGGCCTCTCGTCTATCCCTATCTAGATTTTATTCTGAATAGATTGCTTAAAATTTAAGGCACGTTTTGTTAGAATCGTGACGCCATAAATTTACTAATCTCAATAACACCAATGGAGATTGGTTAATTAATATTTGTAGAAGTGGTGTTTTTACGTGAACCAAATGGGCTATTGGACTGTTTTATAGCTTACCTATTAAATATAATTAAGTTTCTCGCTGCACTTCCGCACATGTCGTTCCATGATGGATGGTAGAACATATCTCTCCGTATCTCAAGCCCTTTACCCGGCAATAACTCCACCAATAAACAAAGTCTTTTACTATGAACTACCTGATTATTCGTAATGTGAAAATAGGCTCACATCCGAAAATGAAGGACAAAACTAGGTGGTTGTAGTGAGCGTGGAACGCTTAGAGGACTGACTGTTCAGCCGTATCTTTATGACTCGAAGGCTTCAAACTACCAGAGAAATATTAATGTCCTTTCATTTGTATCTGGCCTAAAATAGAAATTCGAATGTGCAGAGGACCCTTACGGTCCATAACAAATGAGCGAACATAGTTGACCAGTTGTATAATGAATTTGCTTATTACCCTCTAACGATGAGTAGTTAATTCGCCCATTATACGAGGTAAATATAGTAAAAGTAAATAAGTATAAATAGTAAAAGGAATAGATATTAAGCACCCGACGGTATATATATATATATATATATATATATATATATATATATATATATATATATATATATATATATATTTATTCGACGTTTAGTAATGACAATCTATTTCGCAACCGTAAACATAACAAGCACATTGACTGTCTCAACATCCTGTATTATATCCAGTGTTACACGCAGGACAATATTCTATACCATACACGACCCATTGGCGCTTTCCCTCATTTCAAAAGTGTGCTAAGATAAGATATTATTGCTACATTTCGTATATGGAAACAACGTGCGACATAAACCGACCTCTTATGGCCGTCGCGGTATCGTGACGATTGCAGCGCCTATACTGTTCACCATTAAGAACCTGATAAATGGTATTGGACACAACCATCATTTTTTAGATTCATATGGATTTGCTGCAATAGATACTATCTGTGGGCTGCAGGAACACAAAAACATATGCGCGTTTTCCTGTGTGCGCCTATTCGCATTGCGATCATATATGTTACTATTAGACACATAATAACAGAGTTAAAGTGACCGACCTGACAGATGTTCAGAGCCGCCACGTTCTACTACTGTCTATTCGTAGCTTTCAAGTGAAGGTTCTGTCCGAATGCAGAATCATCCTTGGTCGGGACGTTTTCATTCCCCTATTTCATGATTGTAATGCATCTGGTGGACATCTGCGACGCATATGTACACGGCACGAAGCAGCATTTGCCGACGACATATTGCCGCTGTTAAGAGGAAGCTAAGAAGTAGGCTTAGGGACAACTGGATATGGGTTAGTTGCTCGATAAAATTTCCCCTGTTTCGAAGTGACCGGCCGAAGTATAATCGGAATTGTGGAGTGTTGCCGATTGTTCTGGAGTCTAATCTCAATAACCTGATAAGGAATCAGTAGCTGCTTAGCGGGTCGGAGCAAACTTCCAAGCGCTGTCAGAAATACAGAGAATTCGGAAAGAAACGCTTTTGAAGAAATAACACGAGACGACAGACAAGTGTTAGGGGAATGACTGCTGCTACAGCTTACTGATCGTTTCGTGGACCTGCTACCAGGTCTTCAAAGTAGGTCTCGAAGCCGGCCAACCCAACTCGATTCACACTCCGTATGACTCTTTCCAAACGCAATTCTTTTAGCCCCCGGGTTTTCTGTTAGTTGTGCGAAACACTTGTACCAGCCGTAGCTGACAATAGCAGCCTAAATTGTCGCTTTAATCGCGTCAGTGGGGTCAAAAAACAATCGAGCTGGACATCAGACGCAGGCAAGGCTGTGTTTTGCTGCCAAGTCCTGGATAGGTGATGATTGATTCGTGCGGCTCCTGCTGCAGTGAGTTAGGTTTCAACGGTAGTGATACCAGTGGCGGAGGTGACACACCGACCAAGCATAGGCCGCTAATAACAGTAGCAAACTTACGGCACGAAACAACAGATTGTTCCAGTGTTCGTCTGCTGATTTCGATTGATATTTTATTTAGATTCAGCTATTATCCCCTTGTACTTCCTCCTCGATCAGCGAAACGGCGCTGTTGCTTTGCCCAGCGGATGACTGTAACAGCAGTAACGCACCTAGCGCCGAGCCAAAGAAGAGGCACTATTACTTAATGATTACTACGTATAAACAAATAAAGACAAAAAACAAAATCAACGGTAACATTCGATAACTGGGACGTCTAAATGAGGTGTTATGGCGGTGCGCCGGAAACAAAATAAATTGTATGTATACGTAGAAACATATGTATGTATGAGTCGACAATCAGATGATTGTTTTATAGAATGTGGTTATTCCGGCATTCATTTGTGTGGGTCTTTGTGTCTAGCCTGACGATGTTTGTGTGCGTACATCCATCCATGAGTCGCCCGGGCCGTCTGTCTGTTGGTTGGTTTCGAGTCGTCAAAAGCGACTCAGCCATTATAGACAGTGGAAGCTAAGAGCCCAGCCGCTTCAGTAGTCAAGTCTGCAGATGTCAGTTTAGCAGAGGACTTTAGGAAACCAAGAAACTAGCGATTATCGAGCATCTGAGCGGTCAACATGACGATCTGCGTGCGGTCCGCGACAAACGGCGCGAACGCCGCTGCCATTTCCACCATTATTTATTACTTATATAGGCTCTGGCCGCCGCGGCACGGTCCCCGGTACGGCCGTAGTGCTGACAAGAGTAATCAAATGAATAAGAACCAAGTTATGAACCAAATGGACAAGGGTTAGTTCTTTAGTGAATGCCGGTCGTAAAGGTGGCGCCGCTCTATTTACTAATACATATACCTGTATACACATCGAATAACGACCTCAAGGGTGTAGCCATTGACGCAATCAGACCCAAGTGCTCAGGTTTGACTTGCGAACGTGCTGTCGTTCGCTGCCGTGCGCTATGTACGAGCATCGATGTTAACTAACAGTTAGCTAGCAAGTCCGTTATTATTGTCCTTCTGTTTCCTTGTTTGCCCTTTTAGCTCTCATTGTGCGCTCGTTCCTCTGACAAAACGGCCCTTAATAACAATGTCGCCTCATACAGCCTAATCTTCCAGCGTCGAGAAGACCTAAGTGATATGACAGGCCAATGGATAAACAATCCACGATAACCAATAGTGAGAGAACTAACGTACCTAACATGTTAATAACAACAATAATAACAGCAACAGCAACAACGATCGAATGCTGTTTCGGCCGGCAGAATGGGCTCGGTTCATCTAGTCATCAGCACGTAGGCAAAACGCGGCACAACTCGGACTGGCTGCCATTTCCCGTGATTACTGGAGGAAGGACACAATCTGTAGTCGTCCACCGAATCGTCATTGCGATGCTACCAGTAGCTGCGGAATGAAAAAGAAATAATGGAAACAGCCCAGTCAATGAGGAAGCAAGCTACCGAGATTAAGAAAGAGAGGTAAAGAAGACTGATAAAGTGGATAATGGAACGCACATGCAAGAAGCAGGACCTTTGAAGCCATGAAGCCACTACGACGACGTGCCAAAAAGCAGTCAGGGTTCTATGCACGAGAAGCGAACGAAAAGGCAAATACAGAAGGGAGCGTAGAAAAAAATCAGGAAAAAAATACAAGCCAAAATGCAACATAACAATAAAATCAAATAATACGCCATGGATGTGGACGGCCGCGACAGAACTGTCTTGAACCATACCAACGCTGATGAACGCTCACCGTTTATGTAATGCTACCAGCTGTCGCCATAAACCCAGATTGAGTAAGCAGCTCGACGACGGCAACAGAAGTAGCTAACAGGAACAAATGCTGCACAAGCAGTGAGGAACGATCGAAAGAAGGACCGAATCAGTAGCGAGTCCACAGCCGATCTGAACATTGTAGCTATCTGCAGTAGTACTCACTCACGAGATTATCGACGGCAGCGCGCTAGTAAAACTGGTGATTGGACCGAAGCCGTTGAAGACTACGACACCAGCGGGTGACAGCGAATTATAAGAGTGGGGGGTTATCAAAGGGGGTGAAACGTT